GAGGAAATTGTTAGGGAAGTCAGCACCTACATTAAGAAAACTGGCTACAACCCTGACAGGGCAGCTTTTGTGCCAATGTCCGGTTGGAATGGTGACAGCATGCTGGAGCCGAGTGCTCATATGCCTCGGTTCAAGGGATGGAAGGTCACTCGGAAAGATGGCACTGCGGGTGGAGCCACACTGCTTGAGGCTTTGGATTGCACCCTTCCACCCACTCGCTCAACTGACAAGCCTTTGCGGCTGCCCCTCCAGGGTGTCTACAAAATCGGTGGTGTTAGTACCATTGCTGGAGGCCACATGGAGACTGGTGTCCTTAAACCTGGCACCGTGGTCACCTTCGCTCCAGTCAGTGTCACAGCTGAAGGAAATTCTAGAAATGCACCACAGAGCTTTGAGCGAAGCTCTTCCCGGGGACAGTGTGGGCTTCAGCATCAAGTACCTGTCTGTCAAAGATGTTCGTCGTGGCAACGTTGCTGGTGACAGCAAAAATGACCCACCAATGGGAGCAGCTGGCTTCACCGCTCAGGTGATTATCCTGGACCATCCCGGCCAGTTCGGCGCTGGCTGTGCCCCTGTTCCGGATCGTCACACAGCTCACACTGCTTGCAAGTTTGCTGAGCTGAAAGAAAAGATTGATCACCGGCCTGGTAAGAAGCCGGAAGATGGCCCCAAGTTCTTGAAATCTGGTGATGCTGCCTTTGTTGGCATGGTTCCAGGCAAGCCCATGTGTGCCGAGAGCTTCTCTGACTATCCACCTCTGGGTCATTTCGCTGTTCTTGATATGAGACAGACAGTTGCTGTGGGGGTCATCAAAGCAGTGGACAAGAAGGCTGCGGGAGCTGGTAAGGGCACCAAGTCTGCCCAGCAAGCTCAGAAGGCTGAATGAATATTACCCCTAACACCTGCCACCCCAGTCTTGATCAGCAGTGGAAGACCGGCCTCAGAAACCGTTTCTCCCCATTGGCCATTTCAGTTTAATAGTGAAAGACTGGTTAATGATAACAGTGCATCTAAAACCTTCAGAAGGAAAGGAGAATGTTTTGTGGACCATTTGTCGTGTGTGTGTGGCAGTTTTTGAGTTATTAGTTTTTAAAATCAACACTTTTTAATGGAAACAACTGGACCAAAAATCTGTCACAGATTTTGAGACCCATTAAAATAAAGTTTAATGGGGAAAAAAAAAGACATTTATGTTATTTCCAGCCATTACATTTATAGTCATTTGTTATAAGTGATAGAAAATTAATACATTAACACATTAACTGATACATTAATAATTAATAATACAGTAATGGGCCTGGAGATTTAGCTCAGTGGCACAGCACCTGCCTGGCAAGTACAAGGTCGTGAGTTCGATTCCTGGTACCAGACAAAAATAATAATAATAATAATACAGTAAAACAGTAACACATTCTTCCTAATCCAAGGAATCTGTGTCAACCTGCTTACTCTCCCACCAGAGTCTCCTTTTGCCTTTCCATCCCCCTTGGATTTCCAATGTGAAAATCCCTAACTTGCTTCTCCTACAGGTTTAGACCAGTTGTTTCCTTGGTACACTTCCTGCCATTTCCTAACTCTTTTCAGAACTGCACCTGTCTTTATCTTGATTGTTTGTTGTTATTGTTGTTGGTGGTGCTGGTGGTGGTGGTGGGTTTTTGGGTTTTTTTTGAGACAGGGTCTCACTATGTATTCCAGGCTGTCCTCAAACTCTAGGCCATCTTCCTGCCTCAGCCTCCTGACTGAGGTTACAGGTGTGCAACACCACACCCAGAAGGTAATCCATCTTTTTAAAAATTTTGTTATTTTTGTCTTTTTGAGACAGAATCTCGTTTTGCAGTTCAGGCTGGCCTTGAGCTTGTAGATCAGGCTGGTTTTGAACTGGCAACAATCCTCCTGCCTCAGCCTCCTGAGTGCTGGGATTACAGGCATGCGCCACCACGCCAGGCCCAGCAATCCATTTTCTAAAGCTCCCTAGGTAATTCTTTTTATTTTATTAGCACATGTTTGGGGCACATAATGATTACAATTGTCATGGGAAGCGGGTATATGTACATACTGCGTCTTAATTCTTTCTTCTCTCTTTTTGCTATTTTTCATCTGCTACCCTTCCCCACCCTCCTGCTCCTTCCAACTGTGGGTCCCCTTCCCATTTGCAAAAACCCTACTTTCAAAAAAAAAAACCCTTTACTTTCATCATTTTTTCCCATTCCCTTTCCCTCTCCTCCTTCTCCTTCCCTTTATTTCTTGTTCTGCATCCATTTGAAAAAGATCTCCCTACTTCTTCTTTATCTATCTTCTCTTTTGATATGTATGTATACAGTTTTCTTTTTTAGTTTCTCATATAAGAGAAACCCTGTGATATTTAAGCTTAGGTGCCTGACTTATTTCACTCAACATCATGGTCTCTAGATGCATCCATTTTCCTACAAATGCCTCAAGTTTATCTTTCTTTATGGAGAGCAGCACCTTCCACAGTCCCCAGGTAATTCTGATGTGCGCCCATCCCTGAGGACACCTGTCAACTTGTTGCTCTGCAGTTACCCAACTTCAGCGTACAAGAGGAGCTCTGAATGCGGACGCCAGGACTCCGTACTGTGACTCGGATACATCCTGTCTGGTGTGCTCTTCTAGCAAGCTTCGCAGAAGACATTTGCAATGTGCTTTAGAACCAGATGACATTTAGAACACGGCTTGATCAGATTAATGCCTTAGATCTATGAGTCTAACCTTTTTTTAGTTTAAAGATAAAAGAACAAAAGCATATTAACAAACAGACATGAACAAAACAGCACCATAACAATAGAAGCAGGGGCTGGGGATTTAGCTCAGTGGCACAGTGCCTGCCTGGCAAGCGCAAGGTTGTGAGTTCAATTCCTGGCACCAGAAAAAAAAAAAAATTAAAACTAAGCCGGGCGTGGTGGCGCACACCTGTAATCCCAGCACTCAGGAAGCTGAGGCAGGAGGATCATTGTGAGTTTGAATCCAGCCTGGGCTACAAAGTGCACTCAAGGCCAGCCTGAAGTGTATAGCGAGACCCTGTCTCAAAAAGACCAAAAAAAAAAAAACAATAGAAGCAATACAGAATTTCAGACAAAGTGATAAGAAATTAACAATGGTTGTGTATTACATATTGTTATCTTCAAATTAGTTACACAGTTAAACAAATATAATCATGTAAGATTGATCAGACAATTAAACATTAACTGTTCCTTTGCCTCAAGCAACAGAAATTAGTGGTATAATTATCTTAGCTATCTTGTGTGTACATATATACATATTAAAAATATGGAACGCTTCACGAATTTGCGTGTCATCCTTGCCCAGGGGTCATGCTAATCTTCTCTGTATCTTTCCAATTTCATTATATGTGCTGCCTAAGCGAGCACAATGATCCTAATCCTTGATTAATATGAGAATTACCTAGGGACCTTACTAAAAATGTAGTTCCCCCCAGGTTCCAGCCCGTTTTGTTTTGTCAGGTTGTGTGTAACAAGCTCCCCATGGGCTGGGTTGCCGCCCACAGTCTGATGGTTTGTTTTGTTTTGTTTTGTTTTTTTCCGGTACCAGGAATTGAACTCATGACCTTACGCTTGCCAGGCAGGCGCTATGCCGCTGAGCTAAATCCCCAGCCCCAACCGCCCACAGTCTGAGAAGCCATGTCTAGAAGGGTGGCTCTAAACTTGGTGGTTCTAAACCTGAGGCTGTCACGCAGGCCCCCGAGGGCTGGGGAAAGTGACCTGCAGATTGCAGATTGCGGACGCCACCTGGAAAGTTCCTGACTCAGGCGGCACAGAGTAGGGCGTGGCACATGCAACAAATGCCTCATGCTGTGGAAGTTGCTGCCTTTGGGAGAATTTGAAGAATGGCGAAGATTGCTATTCGAAGCAAAGAGCTTTTTCTACCCCGTTCCATCATTTCTCTTCCTGCTCTCGGCCACGAGAGAGTTCCCTGGTAGAGAAAGGGCTGAGGAAAGTAAATACTTACGGAAATTTTGACTTAAGAACGGAGGAGGGAGAACTTTGAGAAAAGGACTTCCGGTAAGCTCACTACCAGGCATCTTGGCATAATTCGAACTCTCTGGTGGCTGAGAGGAGGAGAAATGATGGAATGGAGACATGGGGTAGAATAAACTCTTTGCTTAGAATATCAGTCTAAAGCTTTCCAAGCCAGGGATGGCGGCCAGATTTCAGTGGGAAAGAAGAGTGATCTGATCATAACGGTTAACTGTGCTCAATTCGACAACACATCCGATGTATGTCCAGCCCCAGTAGGACTCAAGAGCCCAGTGGTGGCAAACCTACACCACGCGTGCCCAAGTGGGCTGTTAGTTATCACTGAAAGCTCTGAAAGGTTAGCCATCGCGGTCCTGGAGCTTCCCAGCAGAATCTCTCAGCCTGTATCGTGAGAGCTGAGCAGGTTTGATGAGGAACAAGGGGAAAAAACGAGGTTGGGGCTGACCCTGGTCACCGAAATAGTTAAGGAAAATGTCAAGGTAGAGCCTCCGCGTCCATCTTTCGAGCTTGTAAATGGTTATGGAGAGAGAGTGCTAAAGAGACCAGAAAGTGAGGCGAGGAAGAGCCAGGGGAGGGAGGAAAATCATCTCCTTTCCTTTATATGAAGAGCAAGTCAGAACTTGCGGGCGACTTGCAGACCGCAGAAAGCTGGGGTGCAACGATCGAAGCCAGGAACCCCTTAGCCAGCGTCCTCACAAACTCCGCCCCGCTGGTGCCCTCCGCATGCCAGACTGGGTTATCTGCTAAGCGCACATGACCTGCCAAAACACCGGAAGTTGTGTTTCAGTTTTAGGAAGTCAGAAGGCCGACAGCAAGACCCAACCTCTGCTGATCTCCATATATGTCCGGCCGACCCATCCACTAGTTCGCTCAGAGGGCATCACAGGACAGGAGGTTTTGGAGAAGTTCCCGGATTTAGAAGGACAGTCACAAGGCTGAAAGACCTGGGATATTTGGGGAACAGGCGTTAGCCCACGCCCCTGTTGGATGTGATCACCGCCTGGTCATGTTTGGGCTGGAGAAGTTCTCCAATCAGGTGGGCAGGCTAGCTGTCCTGAGGGACTGATCCCCCTGACTCCACCAGTGGTAACTCTAATTTGGGAACCTACTAGATATGGCTTTAGAGAAATCACTCATAGGGGCTGGGGATTTAGCTCAGCGGCACAGCGCTTGCCTGGCAGGCATGAGGTCGTGAGTTCAATTCCCCGTACCTGAAAAAAAAAAAAAGAGAGAAATCACTCATGTGGTGGAGCTTCCGTTTCACATCTGTGCAATTGCACGGTTACCTTCTCTGTCTGAAAGCAGGAGATTAAACCAAACGATACCCCACCCCACCCCCTGGTCAGGCTCCAAGTCTATTCCGTCTCCACCAAACCTCCCACATCTCTACCGGCCGCTGGTAGCGCTCAGCCGCGCCTCCAGCTCACACACTCTTCAGCTGCCGCCTGGCCAACTGAGGCTGTCTCCAAACCAGTTTTCCCCTCCTAGTTTCATGTGGGCCATCGGTTGTTTGTTTGTTTGTTAGCTTGTTGTTTGGTGCTTGTTTTTGGTGGTCGTGGCGTTTGAGTTCAGGGCCTTGTGCATGCTAGGCCAGTGCTCTACCACTGAGCTACAACCTTGGTACTTTTTAAAATTCTACTGTGAGGCAGGATCTCAGTAAGTCACCCAGGCTGGCCTTAAACCTACAATCCCCTCCGTCTCAGCCTCCAAGTAGCTAGGATTACAAGCTCCAAGAATCTGGCTTTCCTTTGACCGATCTTTCACACTACTGCAAGCTCTTTAAGGGCTCCCGGACACAATCCGGCCCGAAGTCCTACAGTGGCAGGCAGGGCCCTCCAGACCCTCAGGTTCCAGCTCCTGCCCATCCCTGCAG